CTTTAATATGCCTAAAATTATCAAGAAATAATTAAAATCCAAACAAATTTTTATTAGATTAATTGCCATTAGTGGGTTTTGAACTCACAACCTACCACTTGGGGGTATGACAACTTATCCACTTCACTAAGTCACCATACCCTGTTATTATATACTTAGAAATTTACTTTATTAAAAATTTAGATTAATAATTATATTTTTAATAATTTTTAATATATTTCAAAAAATCAAAGAGATTAATCACCTTAATATCAAAAAAAAAAAATACAAAAGACTAATAAATTTAATACAAAATCAAAAATTTTTTATATAAATAAACTGGTTTAAAAATTTTTTAACTATGACATATTTGTATCAGTATTAATCAAATCAATTAATAAAATAAATAGATAATAAATACAAAAACTAAAATATTTAAATAAAAAACTCACAAATGAGTTCTAAGTATAAAAACTATAAAATCTTAAACAAACTACTTAAATTAAACAATAATTAAAATTATAAAAGTAATTGTATACTTTTTCTATAATTGCTCTTGTAATTATTATAAAAACAACTATTAATTAAAGCATATTATTAATAAAATCCTAAGTTACAAGTACTTACCTTAACATTAAAAAAAAATTTTTAATTATCAAATATGAATTATAATAAGATCATAATAAAACTTTAATGTTTAAATTTAATGCTAATAAAGAAACCTGCACATGACACTTATAAAAATTCTTCATAACCGTTATATACAGATTTCTTTTATAATGTAACATTAAAGTTGATTAAAAATTCTTCTTTTATAATGTAACATTAAAGTTGATTAAAAATTCTTTATAATCAATTTTGCATAATTGGTTTTTAAGATAATAAGATAGAATGACCCAAAGTTTGGATCACAAAACATAACTCACAGTCATCAGATAAAGTTTTGCTTGTTGCTTAGCCGCGCTGTGCCGTGTGGCTTGAGTTTTCGAAAGTCACTATAACGAATTCGGATAGGAGTTTTACTAAAAAAAAATTTTTAAAGCTCAATTCTCTTAAAAATTTAGTGTACAGATTTGTACGCTAAAATATACGGTTTAAGGGATAATTTATCACTCGGTGTAACATCCTCCCTGACTGATATATATACTCTTGCCAAAATTATTATTTTCTATAAAATTTAATCAATTCAAAATATATAACCAAATTCGCAAAAACTGCAACACAACGTATTAAGGTTTTCCAAATTCAAATCAAACTATGTAGGAGCTAATTATGATGTTTTTATATTATAAATATATTGCATTTATTATTTAAATGATTTAGATTAAATGTGACACGTGTAATGCTAATTACCTATCTATTCCATTTCACCCGTTGAAGATATTTTTCTACCCAATCTTGAACAAAAACACTAGCCTTCATAAATTTCTTTATAGAGTATTTCTTAAATAATTGCTCGTGTCTAGTTGGTTTTGACAAGTAATTAAGCATCAACCTTATACACGGTTCAAGTTCTTTTTCGGTGAAAGTTGAATAATGAATTAAATTGGCGGTCTAAAAATTTTTAATTAAAATTATTTTATCAGTCATAGAACTTCATGAAAAGAATATAAGACTATACCTACCCATTCAGAGCGATGAAGCATTTTCCGAGAAAAACATAAAGCAGCAGCAGCAATCATGGAGGGAGGATAAGGTAAAAAGTTATGATCGACAAGAGATATTTCCATAAGATATTTGGCAACTGTGCGGGATTGAATGTCGAAATTGTCAGCTTTGGAAGCTCGTCGAAGAAAGTTCATGGGATTTGGATAGTTCATCTTGAAGTCAATTGTTTGAAGAATATAACGTTCTGCTTTAAGGATTTCATCGTCTGAATACCCATTATCAACCATGTAAATGAAATTCTTAATTGACGGTGCTATAACCTCTTCATATTTCGCCGCAATGAACAGTCCAGTGATTCCAACTAGTTGGAGTTTAACCAGGGAAACAACTCGAACAGAAAGAAATCTATCTATTATGTTTATGGCCAAAAATAAGGTTTCAGGAAGTAAGCGAAACTTGTTGTGTACTTCGATGAGCCAATCGACGAGGATTTCTCGCATTTTCCAGCTTAGTTCGTTTTGCTGATCCATGTAATCAGGTCTAGGTGCTGTTTCGGCCTGAGCATAAATTATAAATAAATAAGCGAAAAAAGTTTTCCAGGCGAATAAAGCATGGCAGAAATCTTACCTCCAATTCTTTTAAATATTGGAAAATGTCTACAGCGTATTCTGACACCATCAAAGGATCATGAGCATCATCGGCATCCAAATCTTGCCAGTCTTGAGTCCTAGGTTTCTTTGCGCGTTTCTTATCAACTTCAACATCATGCATTTGATATGATTTGGTTGCAATAGGTTTTGGTTCTACATATCTAGCTCTAAAATTAGGTACATTAGGTGCACCTGATTTGAAGACAAATAACTTTTCATCTTTTGCATGTTGCGAAAAAGAGAAATTTTGTTCTATTTTTCCTACTTTTTCTATTTTGTCTATATTTTCTATTTTTACTGGGGGCTTTATGACACTGGCTTTTATCTCATTAATTGATTCTTGTTTGTTAGCTGCAACTGCAAAATTTATATTTTCAACAACGGCCGCACGCTTTCTTGCAACTATGCCAGCAGTTTGTCTTACTGGTTGTACATTCAAATTGCTGGTGATAGATTCATTGAGAGGTGCTTTTTTTAAAGAAACAGCGTCCAAAACACTAGTTGGTGCATGCTTTAAAGTCGCAACCGGAGCATTGCTTATGTTGCTGACATCGTCAAACGCAGCTCTTTTACGTACAAAACTGGTCGTTCTTTTTGGAAGTCGAGCATTTGAAATAGTAGGTGCCGCTTCACGCATAGCAAGTTGTTTAGGTGCGGCGACATTTTCGTCACGTTGGCCTCGAAGAACAGCCAATTTACGTGGTTGGATCTACAAATTTTCAAAACATAGTTAAGATATCTTTCCTTCTCTATTCTTATTTGCATAAATAACTATCTAAATACCAATTTCTTTTTAATTTGGGCTTGGTTTTGATTGACGAACATATCTCCCAAAGTTTCATATAAGGAACAAAATCGTTTGCTTCATAGAAGTAACCAAATATTAGAGTGCATTTTGAATTGAATAATATAATATATTATGTCTAACGAAATTGAATTCATTACCTTTACGACGCTCCAGCGTCTGTTGAAAGAACTAAAATTAGAATATTTTTTAATTTCTTTAAAAATCAGATATTTACAAAATATATGATCACGTGGTGATGATCAGATCAAATTCGACAAAACAAACAATCGATAAGATTGAAAAAAAAAAGAAAGTTACCAATTTTTTTTTTTGCTTTCTATTATGTAAAATATGTGTAACAATAACAATAAAAGCTTGGTTTGATTGGCAGCTTTAATGTAGATCATTTACTAAAAAAATTTTATCGCATGTTGCCGATCGCACGTCCGAAATGTGCAAAATTCTTAAAGTTAACGTTAAGGTTAACATTGTATTGGTTTTCCATTTTCGTTACTTATATATAGAAAATAATTAAGACGAATGCTTGTTTTGGATTTTTTAATCGTGTAACGTGATTAACTAACCTGGCACACAATTTAGACATGCAGAAATTAGAAATAATAGTATATATATAATACGTAGTTCAAACTTTAGATTATACAAGGTTTTTTTTTTTTTTGTTAAGGTTGATGTTTACAGTAACTATCAGTTTTATTGTGTTTTAAATTATACATTACATATAACTTGTACAAGAGTATGCAACTAGTTATACATGCAATTTTTGGTTACTTATTTAAGTAGTTTTTTTTTTTTTTGGTATTAAGGTGAGGCCTTGCTTATATCTTTATTAATAATTTAAAATAGTTACATGTATA